TATACCTAGATCCACCGCTATGTGAAAATAATGTCGTTTGGTGGAACTACAATCTTTATTGTCGTTTAAACGAAGAACTGCCGTTTGAAAAAAAAAACTGTCGTTTGCCCTTCGCCCAGTCCGCGCCTCGATTCTTGCCAGCTCTCTTGGGAAGATGATCTTGGAAAATAGGTTGAAGTTAAGATTATTTAAGATCTAAAGTTCTTGACTATAAGATAGTCTATGTTTTCTGTACCAAGTGGTTGGCTTTCAAGCCTTGGGTTGTCAAACAGTCCCCTCAAGAACCTGAAAGGCTCATCATCCTAGATATACCTAGACATAGTAGTCGAGCTTTGCCACCTCCCCCCACGTGACCTTTTCATCTTCGAGCACTTCATGTCCTTTGCTCGCTGGGGCCTCAGGGGCTTTGAAGGCCGGACGACCTTGGAGCTGGCATTGGACTTGCGATAGCGGCGGTGAAGCATGTAAGCTTTCACTAGAAAGCATTGTAAGACTCTGCCACTGATTCCTCTTGAGTCTAGCCTCCTCGATAAACGAGCAAGCCTCCCGACACTGTCTTCATTGCCCTCACAGTTGTAACACAAAGGGCTCAGCACCACCTGCGATCCTCGTGAGAGCTGCTGGCGGATTTCCACTAATGTGTGTTTCCACATGTGCTGTTTAGGTTTGATGGCAAACAGGTTCATGGAGCCAAGACAATGCTGGGCCAGAAGGCAGTAGCCAGCCATGAAAGAGTTCCCATCACGACACAAGGCAACAGCGCACTGCCGATCAAGAAATAAACCATGTAGATACATGCGGTCGTAGTAGCTCAAGGCGGCGTGAACTGTTTGACACATCAGCTGGAGGACAGCCCGGTCGCCGGAGCTGGTTGAAGGGTCAACCTGGAAACCAGTCAGTTGCACACACAGCCATCGGCACAGAAGTACTGTATCGCTTCCCTTGGTGTTGGTCCAGGGAAATGAGCGCCGAGACTTGTAGCAAAACAGATTCTTTGAGAAGCTGCGCAAAGCTGGGCTTGCACCCACACCATTGCAATACAACCTGAAGGCACCAAAAGCAGTGATCAATTTGCTTGGCACATCACCCATGCCAAAGAAGCCCTTCTCTAAACACCAAAAGACACAGCTCCCAACCACATCCCTCAAAGTGCCAAGCTTGCCAATGTGGAAAGGGTCTTTCTGGTAAAACGACTCTGGCGCTGCATCGTTGAAGGGGATTTGGAGAAGAACTGGGTCAGAAGTCCATGGCCTGCTAACGTGAACGGTCTGCTCCCAAACTGGAAACTCTTGGAAATCCTCCCAGCTGATGCCTGGGGAACCCCCCCAGGCACTCGTGACAACACTGCAGGTCTCTCACCCTGCCCTGGTTTTCGTAGGACCTGGAAAGGCCACCAATCTGCGTGTGCCACTTCATGTCCGCTTTCAAGCCTAACATGGCGCAACAAAAAAATATGATTGTGGGGACCAACAACTCCTTCGTAGAATAAGGCCTTGAGCTGCTGGGCAAGCATCTTGTGGAAGCTGTATGCAATGTCAGGATTCTGTTTGTATACTATTCCAGGGATGACGACCAACGGCCATCTTTGCAAGAAGGAATGCCCTTTTGTGTTGGTTCTCATGTTCTGAACTGCACGCAGGGCATCAGGTCCAAGAGAATTGGCAGCGTGGCCAGGTTGTGCCTGGTACTTGTTAAGCTCCATGGGTGACGGGTGACAACCACAATCTCTTTTCCTTTTCTTGGACGGAAAATCTAGGCCAAAAGGTGTCTCCAGACTCACTATCATTGTTCCAGTTCTTCTCTTTCCACGGCCTTCATCGCCGTGGAGAAGGAGTGGAAGCGTGTAAGCCAGATCCGAATCATGGGTTGTGTAGACTTTGTGACTTGGGTGGAGCTGCCTGTAGGCAGCCCAAAAGGACTGTAGATGCACTGCACGATCATGGTCAGAGAAATCGCCACCCAATAAAATATCAGGTGTGTTGTTCAACAAAAAAATGTATCAAATCCTTGGGAGCCAAGTATTTGAGAACCACAATCTCCCCATTGGAGGCAGTCCATTCAAACGTGCTCAACGGAACTCTCCATCCAATACCAAACTTGTGAAAAGTACGCCAGGCAGTTCTTTGGGCGTTTTTTTTTCCAACCACCTTTCGCTCCGTCAGCATCGCTGAGGTCACCCCTTTCTTCCATGGCAGCACGGCGCATCCCGCCAGCTGTGACGGCTGGAACCTCAGCGAAGGGAGGCAAATGCGGAGAAGACCTACAGTAGCTCAGCAGACCAATAAGGAGCGGGCCCCGTCAGCAATAGCTTCAGCATAGCTGTGTGTCAAAGGGCCAGCCACGGGCTCTCCACCTGGCTCGCATTTTTGTTAAAGGAACGATAGCTGGCTATTGAAGAAACAGTCAACGGCTTTGCCATTTGTTTTTTTTGCTGCAGCTCGTTCCAATGCCCGATGAAGGTCGTTTGTGTGAAATCACACACGTCAAACTTGAATTGCTTCATCCAAAGTTGGTGACCGAAAAACAAAGGCAAAAGTTTACATACAAGTGAAGCAGAACAACTATTTGTCACCCAACAAGTCACCAACCATTGGTAATCCCCCCCCTCAAACAACAGTGACTCAGCTTTTGGCCCGCTTTCCCGGGGCTGAATCAGGCTCAGAGGCATTGGCGGTCTGCTTTGCCTTGGCCTTGGTTTTGGCCTTGGGAGCACCCGCCTTAGCCTTAGCCGCCTTAGCCTTGCCTCGGGCACGGCCGGCTCGGTTCTTCCGTGTTGAAGATTGACTCACTTTGGGCAGAAGAGACCTGCACGGAAGGTATGGGTGACGCTTGACCATGCTGTGCACAAAGGGGAAATGAGCCTTGTTCGGTGTTCAAAGCTCATGCCCTCCATCGCCCTGGCGAAGGAAACAGGTGAACAAATTGTGTTTCTTGGCCAACCCTAGCTTTCAACATTGTAAAATCTCCACATGCCTTCTGCGGGCATCACCGTACAAGCGTTCGATGGTCTTCTCTGACCTTTGCAGCAGCTATGGCAAACACAGATGGGAAGAAACTATTTGACATTGAAGCAAAACAAGCAACCCCACAAAGGTCATAAGGTGGGTACTCCTTCGAGAAACCATCAACAACACCCGCAGTGTATTGCTCGTCAATGCTCACGCTGCTTTGGTTGAGGTCAGTGATCAGCTGGTTGAGTTTGTCTCGCATCCTGAGCGTAACTCTTCAGCTAGGCTAACTCTTGGACTTAGCTATTTGTGTACGCTAAGTATTGCCTGCGCTAACTATTGCCTCAGCAAATCTAGCTGTTCGTAGCTATACAAAAAATGTTCAACAAAACTTCCTTTGATCAAGAATGACCAAGAACACAAATCCAGCCAATAGTCTTTACCTGCAAGTCCGTAAGCTTCGCATCACCACCGAACCTCTCGGCGAGGTCTTGGAGCTTCTTGACCCGCTTTGAGATGCAGGCCCTGGGCTGGGAGTTTATCAAAAGCGAGTTCCCGGCTTTGAGACGCAGACCGTTTTTTTCTGTTCCATAAAAAAGCACAAAGCGCATTCAAACACAGAAGTAGAGGTTGGCAACGGCGAGCAAGTTTTAGTGATACAAAAGCGTGCCAAAGGCAAGCTAACGTTTAAAAGGGTCTTGGACCAACCAAGACTCAGCATTTTGGTCGCAATGCTTGAAGGAAGAGCATCATGTTCCAAGTCAGGAATCCCAGCCTTTTTCCTCTCTGAACGGGCCAAGTCTTCTGCTGCCAAGGCCTCCGCGTCCTCTCCAGAGAGCTCTTCATCCGAGGACAGCTCCTCACCTTTCGGCGCAAATCATGAGATACTGACTGGAGTTTGGGTGAAGGAGCTGCAAATTTGGGAGAATGACAATTCAGCAGCAACGTGTGCATGTCAAGCCTTCTTCTGGTTCTGGCGCTTCTCGTTTCTCAGCTTTGGAATGAGCTTTGGAATGGGAATCCCTGGAAGAGTTGGCCTTCAGAGACGGTTTCGGGGGGAACGCCGTCAGTAGGAACACTTTGCACAGGAACTGGGGCTTGCTTCGGCAACGGCAGCATGGACCCACCCGGAACAAGGCCGGCGGGTTCCATGAACTTGGAAAGGTCCTTGCTGTCGGCCACCTGCTCCAAGTTCAGCCGTCGGTTGACTTGGAGTTTGTTGGATCTCCTTGGGACCGCATACAACTACTTCATTTGAGTCATCCCTCAATTGCACGTAAGTCTTATTCTTTCACACGGCCCGGGGTCGAAGTGCTGATGATGACTTCATGGGAACTTGATAGAACAACCAGCTTTGCAAACAAGGCTCTTACTTTGACCCTTGATGCAAGTCTCAGCCCAATAGAGTACTTTGTTGGGCTCGTATTTGTCTCGCCTGCCATGGGCGGTGATGCCAGCAGCAAGCTGTTCAAGTTGGCAACAACTTTCCATGTTTTGGGGTCCGATTTAGGGCCTGGTTGCATTTTGGGGAGCCTGTTTTTTAGAGCGCTACATAGGTGGCAACGTAACTCTTTCAGATCCCAGCGGCCCCAAAACGGATCCCCAAACCACTTGGAAAACTGCCAAAAGTTCAAGTTGCTACTTACCAATGCGTCGAAACCAGCAAATCTAGCCTCATGAGGTTTTTGGGGTCTTCGCGAGCGGCTTGTTTGACTGCCTCCCTGCGAGACCTGCGATCACGAAGCCAACGGGGATGGGGAAGGAGGTCAGGAAACCCAAACTGTGGGGATACTTTGCATAGAAGTTAGATGCGCCTGCTCCAGCCCCACTCCTCCATACCCTCTTCTGAAACGTACTGACCTTCTACCACCATATCTTGTTCCAAACAGTCAGCGGCAATCATCTCCATTTCCATAACAAATTCATCCTCAGGGGGGAGGAGAACGCAGGCACTAAGCGCACATTGTTTCTTTGTGCTCGCAAGAACACCTAAAGAAACATACCCTTTTCGATTTTCCATGGTTTGCTTTATTCCTGGATTTCCAAACAAAACATGTTTCAAGCCCATGTCCGCATTGTATCCACAGCTCTGGAATACTTGTTCCAATGTCTTTCTTGATTTCCCACCC